GCGCCCCTCCCTCCTCCGCACGGGCCGCGCCAGCTCCGTGACGCCTCGACCGGCCGCCACCTGCTGCATCGTGCAGAGACGTCACGTCGTAACGACGATGATCCGGACATTAAAACCGCGCCACCTGTGCTGCCGAGCGCCAATGACGTCACAGAGCCGACCCGGCGCGGTCCGAGGTGCGGACTCCGCGAGTCCGACTGCTGAGTCCGGGCGGGGCCGGCCTCGGACCGGGCGTGCATCCAGGGCCGACCACCGGCAGGGCGTGCCGCAGGCCAGTGCAACGGCGCCTCCCACAGCCGACGGCGCGCATCCAAACGGCCCGTAATCGGGGCCACAACGGCGGCCAAACGGCGTCGGCCGGCGTCCAGGCGCGTCACAGGGCATGCCTGCGGTCGGCCCGACTGCCTGGTCCCGCAACACAGCCGTCTGGCTCCACTGTCTGACCGTGGAGGTACGGGAACACAGCCGTCTGGCCGCGGAGGCACGGCACAGGGGCCCGGGGCGCGACTCGACCCGGTCTGAACCCGCGCTGATCCGCGCCGCCGCGCCGCCGGTGTGGGCCTCAGCGCATTCCAGTGGGCCGGGGCGGGCGCGCGCCGGGCGCGGCGCCGCTCGGCGTCTCGGCCGGCGGCGCTCCACCCGACCGGGCGGCCGTATTAGGCGGCCGACCCACCGCCACGCCCGGACCGCGGCGCGGCCGGCGGCGAGCGCGACCGGCCGGCGGCGAGCGCGACCGGCCGGCGGCCGCGCGCGCGTCAGGTCACTGACGTCACGTCACGACAAGGGCGCGTCACGTCACGTCCCGTCACGGCGCAGCTTGCGGCGGCCAGCCGGCGGGCGGGACAGCTGGTGACGCGCGCAGCTGGCAAGGTCAGCGTCCCGTCAGCTGAGCGTTGGCCGGGCGCCGCAGCCTCCGACGTAGGGGGCGAACGGTGGCTGAGCCTCCCCACCTCCACAGAGGGACCCGGCGCAGAGACGAGACAAACCCCGGCCAATGAGGGGCGAGCGCCCCGGCGGCCGCCAGCACCAGCTGCCGCCGGATGCCACCCCGCTCCAGCCCCAGCTCCAGTGACGCCTCGTCACGCGTGACGCGTCCTCGATTCCAGCATTCCCTCGGCGTCACCGGCGCTCGGCGTCCGGCCGGCGGCGGCGGTGAATCAAAGGCCGGATGTGAGCGCCGCCGCGGCCCACCGCCGCCGCCGACTGCAAAACCGTCCGACGCGTTAGGCAATCCCGACAGAAAACATCGGCCGACCGGCGCCGGGGCGTTGGCCTGACCGCGAGCGGCGCCTGGCGCCGGGCCGCCGGCCAGGGCGCAGAGTGGCGCCGCGCGCGCTCGAGCCGGCCACGGAAAAAGGCGCCGGACTGCGCAGCAGAGGCGGCGGCAGCGGCGGCGGCCTCCCCTCCGCTCGGCCGGCACATCTGGACGGCACGTGCGCCGGCGGTGGCCCGTCGGGACACCCCCGCCCTCTGCCGGCGGAGCGCCGTCTGTTCGCCCGACAGCCCGCGTGTCCCACGACGCTGCCAGGCGCACGGGTCGGTCGGGAGGGGGAGGGGCGGCGGCCGCCGCCGCCTCCGCCGCGGAGGCACGCGCCGCCGGTGTAGCCCGTCGGTGCGCCGCGTGCAGCCGGCAACGCGCCTAATACGGCGCCGGGCGGCCGGCGCGCCGGTCCGGACCAGCTCCCGGCGGCAGCGCGCGCCGCGCGGACGCCCGGCTCGCCGCCCAGCGCCGGAAACGGACGTGCAACGCCGACGCCGGGGAGGGAGAGAGCCGCACGGAGAGGGGGAGGGGCGCTCGTCACGTCCCGCGGCCGCAGCGGCCGTCGGCGCGGCTCGGCCGCCCTCTCGGCACCGCGGCCGGTGCCTCCGCACCCGACAGCTCGCCGCGCCGTCAAGGCCAGCGCTGTGTGACGTCAGCGCCGGACGGGGCGGAGCGGCCGGGCCGGTGTTTACCAGCCACATGCGCTGCGTACACCCGCCGCCGACCAGAATGGGTGACGCGGCCGCGCCCTACTCGGCCGACGCCAGCGCACGTGGAGGAATGACGCGCCGGCCGGGTGCCCGCCGCGCCAGCAGAGATACGAATACAATGCTTCCGCGTTGTGGAGTGCAACGCCAACAAGGCGGTTACGCGGAAAGGCGGCGACGGGTACAAAAGTCCAGAAGCGGTGCGTCGAACAAAGTTCAACAGGTGGGAGCGGCGGCCCGCGGCGTACCCGCCGCCATCGTGCGGCGGTTTGGCAAGCGTAGCACGAGCGTGCGTGCAAAATGCTCAGCTGTCGATTGCCAGCCCGATAACGGCGGCCGGCGCCGGCCGCTCGGTGCCGGGGCGTCCGGAGAGGTTCCCGGCCTCCAGAGGCTGTCGCTGCCCGTCTGTCAGCGGGTGGTCCCGCCACCTCGGGTCCGGTGTGGTGCGCTCGGAAATGACGCGGTCTGTCGTAACGCGATGTCGACTATCGGGGTCTGGACCAGTGTATCCGGAGAGCTGGACCAGTCTATCAGGAGATCTGTACCAGTCTATCAGGAGATCTGGATCAGACTATCAGGAGATCTGGACCAGTGTATCCGGAAGTCTGGACCAGTCTATCAGGAGATCTGAACCAGTGCATCCGGAGGTCTGGACCGGTTTATCAGGAGATCTGGACCAGTGCATCCGGAGATCTGGACCAGTCTATCAGGGGATGTGGACCAGTGCATCCGGAGGTCTGGACCGGTTTATCAGGAGATCTGGGCCAATGCATCCAGAGATCTGGACCAGTCTATCAGGAGATCTGGACCAGTGCATCCGGAGGTCTAGACCCTGGAATTTACTGGAAGGACGCCAAGAAAATTTACTGGAAGACCCCAGTCAATCCGGAGGTCTAAGCCAGTACAGCAGCAGGTCTGGATCAGTACAACAGTCGCGTCCCATTTCGTCCCGGGACGGCCGGGTTCGGTCGTTCAATACATGATGTTGGGCCGGGGCTGAGCCGCGCTCGGGTCTGCCAGCGCTGCTGACGGCCGTCCTGTTTGGACTGGCACCGGGAGCGATGCTATAAACACCCCGCTGACGGCGGGCGGCGGCACGGTACACGTCACCTGTACACGGACCACCGGTACACCAGCCACCGGTACATGGACCACCTGTGCACGGGCCGCCGACCACCTGTACACGGACTGCCGAAACAAGGACCACTTGTAATGGACCACCTGTACATGGGCAACCGGTACACGGACCACCTGCACACGAACCATCTGTACACGGATCACCGGTACACGGACCACCGGTACATGGACCACCAGTACACGGACCACCGGTACATGGACCACCGGCGCACGGACCACCTGTACACGAACCACTGGTACACGGACCACCTGTACGCGGACCACCCGTACGCAAACCGCCGGTACACGGACCACGTGCACACGGACCACCGGTACACGGACTACCATGCATTGACCACCAATTCACGGGCCACCGGTACGGGGACCATCGGTAAACGGACCGCAGGTACACCGACCACCAGTACACGGACCAACCGTACACGGAACGCAGGTACACGGACCACCGGTACACCGACCACCGGTACACCGACCCCTGTACACGAACCACCGGTACACGGATCACCGGTACACCGACCCCTGTACACGAACCGCCGGTACACGGATCACCGGTACACGGACCGCCGGTGCACGGACCGCCGGTACACAAACCACCGGTACACGGACCACCTGTAACATCTGGGCCCTGGGACCTGGAATAACACACGTTAGCACACAACTACCAGCATAGCGGCCACTGCCGGTACACTGACCGCCAGGGCGGCCGTCAATACGTCGACCAATGGCACATCCGCACCAACCACCGACACGTCGACCGCGACACACGCACCAGCAAACCCACCGGTCTGCAGCATTCCCTGAGCGTGACATCGACCGCGATGTTTTGAGCATGCTGACCACTCGCGCACCGCCAGGCAGCTGACCACCGGCTGACGGTAATCGCCCGCACTGCTGACCAGTGGCGGACTCGCCGACACCAACCTCAGCAAAGCTACGCATTTGTTGTCGAACTTAGGTTACACCATGTTCAGGGGGGTGGGAAGTCAATGACGGACATTGCGTGTTTTGTATCGAAGTGCGGTGATCGGCTGAATGTCCACTGCCTAGCCGCCATAAAAACAGCCGCAGCATGCTACGCAGCCCTGTTCGGCAGCACCGTCCGCGCCATCGCGCACATGAGACTCGGCCGGCGCGGATCTCGGCTCGTCAACGCTCAGCTGGGCCAGCAGACTGGACGGCCCTGCCCGCGCCGGCCGCCGGGGGGACGAAGGCGGCCTCCGGCGCACAGCCGCCCGGCCCCCCCACGGCCGACGCCGGACGTCCACGGTCGACCGCCAACCGGACACCGGCCGGCCCGGGCCGAAGACGCACCGACGCGACGGCATCGACGATCGCCGACGGGCCGCGCCGCCGCCGGCCTTGGGGGCGCCGCGGCGGTCCGGGTCGGCCGCGACCGGCGCCCGAAATAGACGGAAGGGCGCCGCCCCTCTGCCGCCACCACCGCCCCCATCGGCGCGGCCGGCGCGGGGCGGGCGGCGCTGAAGCCAGGCGGAGACTCGGGCGTCGGCGGGAGGCGGTGATCCCCCGCGGGCGGGGCTTCCCGCGTCGACATACATGAGCCCGTCGGACACATGGCTATGAGGCCGCGCGCTAGCTCCAGTAACCATTCCAGTCGGGGAGATCGCGTTCGGCACGTTTGGTACTGGAGAAACAGCAAGATAACGCGGCAACGATAACAAGGGCATGTTGGCCGCGGCCATCCCCGTTATGAACATCACTGCAGAACCGCCCCGTTATTTCAGCGGCACACTCTCACATCAGTCCTCCCAGAATCAGATGCTGCCATGGCCAGTGGTAATCACACCACTCACTGGAACTGCCTGCACAGAAGGTCTCCGCACACAGCCTTTGGACCCAGTCATTTCTCCATGAAAGCACCTTTGCCAGGTGGTACATACCCAGGTCGTCCACCAGCTTGAACATGACGCCACCAACATGCATGTCACCCTTGACACGGATCTTCTTCTCCACCTGCAGGTCTGTGACGAACACAGACAGCATCCAGGAGCCGTCCACCCGGAACCCATCCACACGGAACCCATCCGCCATCTGTGGAAATAAAGTGTAGTCAGGGCCTTGGCTAAAACACTAGGTGTTGAAATGTCAAGACATTAACAACAAATTCTGGGATGATAATATCACTTGAGAGAAGATAAGTTGAATGAAGATAATAATCACACTTGTATGGGTATGCTTGTGTGATTGCATTTCTATGTGTGCCGGGAATCCCTGGTGTCAGTCATCTTGTTTAAGGTTTGTCACAATTGACAGAAATAATAAGTTTATCTAAGGTCATCCAAAGACATAGATATTGGCATGATATCATGATATGCAATCTTTGAACATTATCTTTCAATGACAGATCATTCAGTTCAACATAAACTTGACTAGTTTTGTTGACTGGTCATCAACTAGCTTTATCAACTAGTCATCGCTTAGTTTCAACTAGGTCAATTCATGAAGAATATAATGTGACAGCTGATAAACAGAGTGATAAACATAGGATATGAGGAACCAACTTTAATTAGATTTTGCTCTATTAGCACCAAAAATTGGGCAAACATCATACTTTATAGCAGAGAAAGATATGATTGTAACCATTTCCCATATTTTCTTGGAGAACCTGCTATTACTGTTAGAATATTGATGTTTTTGTGGTACCTTTCTGCATCTCAACAACTACCATGACAATATGGTAGAACATTAGTACCCAACATCCAGCTCAGGTAATGTTTCAATATTTGTCTACTTGGGTGGTCGGCTGCCCAAATTTTTGCATGCTATTACACCCCCTACAGCTTGCGGTTCACTTCCTGTCATCACCCCTTGCTCAAAATTGACCAATTAGCATCAGATGAGGCAGTAGTCAACCCAGGATGTCAGCACCTCACAGCTGCCAAACAGCCAAGGCAGGTCAGATGTCTGGCTGGTTTGGTGGATGCCCTATTGGAAAAGTCATGGAACACTGAATGTAGATGGTCAACAAACACAAAGAGACTGCAAGCTACACTGATAGATGCTGAATCACCATGCTACACCTTATAAATGTGCTGCAATTGGGTTAGCCAACTACAATAACACAATGATGAAGGCCTGGTGGTAATGAAGGCATGGTAGCAGTCAGTAAGTACAAGTAATGAATGCAAAACATCACAACCTTAAAATTACCATGGTGGCTTGGAGAAAGTAAAAATGATCCCATAAACAACGGTGCTCATCTAGGTAGACAAACCTCAAACTAACCTTGATGTCGTAGGACGTCACTATTTCGAGAAAAGCTGCCAAAACCCAGACTGCGCAGGCCGCCTCCTCACAAGCGAATTACGTGGAACACTGACTGCTCAGCTCAGCATTATGTTGTGATTTCCACGCACAGTCGATCGCAAACGCGTTTCCAAAACCTCCCAGCGACACAGTCTTCCCTCACGGCCACCCAGCACGAGCAGCCCGTCCCACCTCACTCCTGCGATCCGTACCATAAACAGCCGAGGGAAGGCGACGGCGCATCCCAGAGCCGCTAGTGATGGTTCGCGCATATCTCAACAAGTACTTACACATTTCTGATATCAGAATCAAACCACGGAAATTCTCACTAGGTGGATAAAATGCATGCGTAACCAGTGATGCGATATTCCTTATCGCAGTAAACATCACAAGGCACGAATGTAAAATATATTAGCAAATTACAGTGTTAAAAGTATCCATGTTGGGGTGCACCACGCTGGCGCATCGATAGTGGCGAGTTGTCAACACCGCCAAGTATTCATTCATCACCAATAGAGCAACAAAGGTACCTAAATTAGGATTTCCTCACCAGAACGGCCATAACGTAATCGAAAGGCAGTCTGCCTGTCTTTTGAAATAGATTTGAAACACTGGTGTAGTTTCCTTTTTAGTTGGGAGGCGGGACTTCAGCCCCCTAAATTGGACCTCAGTCCTCAACTTTGGGAAGAAAGTGGGCAAAGTCTGGGGAGAAATCCGCTTGGTGGTATATTTTGGTGGGCTGGTTTGGTCATTTTTCTATTGTTCGGCACCCCCCTCCCTCCCATCAGCTCATTTTGCGAAACTCTGTCTCTGATCTGAGGCGCGCTAGGGCAGTGCGATATTGGGGCTCAAACTCTCAAATGGCTCCGCACTTTAAAGGGAGTGCGCCACCTTTGGAGTATATTTCAAAGACATACTTATCACCAAGTGATTCAAGCCCTTTCCGGTACTCTTTTAAGTACCCTTTACCCCATAAAAGTGTCCTGTCCTTGCAAATACACATCCCATGTTGTCAAAAAGTGTAACTCAACTCTGTTCTGCTTCCATAAAGTGCGTCATCACCTTACACCCGAGGCTCGTAAACCAATCATCCAGTTCAATTATGTCAGCGTGTCACCCGGGCGGCAGAGGCGGGTGCCCTTGACCTGCCAGCTCTTCGCCTGTCAGTGGCACGCAAGGGTTTTTTTCGCATCGCGTGGCCTCATCCAGAGCCACCTGCCGCCGACCATCATCCGCACAGGCACGTATGTACCAATGTTTGGGTCATGCTCGGCGCTCAGACACCGCCAGAGGGCACTCGACCCCGCCCATGGCTGGTGCATGCAGCCTGCTCGAGATTAATGGGTGATGCGAGGGTGCAGGACGAAACAAGAGGGGAGAAACTGGAGTGGATGGAAGCCTGTTACTATCATAGTTCATTTTTGGACCAACACAGAACATTGGTATAGTAAACACTTAGTTTCCTGCCAACAGACGTGCAGTGGCTGCAAGTGATCCGCATATGAAACGGGCTGGTGCCAGACTTGATGACTCCTCGCGCCGTGAGAGAAATGATCGTGCACGCCACGCCGTATCAGCTATTGGCATCAGAACATGTGCCCGTAGAGTAATCGCCACGCTTTCAGCGTCACCTAGTGTCACAACGGACACTTAAAGCCATGCTAGCCTCAAAAGATGGCGCTGATAAATCGGCCTCCGGGACCAGGTTACCGTGATCACCTGCTTCGGAGGCCGGCAAGGGACGCAAAGCTGGTAGGGGGGGGGGGGGGGGGTGAAGGGAGGGCTCCGTAGTCTGGGTGGAGTGACGTGGTACATATGTGCTCTCGAGGTCTGATATGCTGATAAGATATGGTGGCCATGCGTGGCGGCGTGCTGCAAAGGTCACCGTGAGCAATTGGTCCTCGAGCTGGCTTCACGTCATTCTGTTTCCAGCTAACGCTTTGCTCCCTACTCACATTGATTTGGGCATGTTACTGCGATCTTGACATCATTATAACTGGAAGCTGAGTTTCATGTTATTTTTAACCGCCCGCACGAAATCATTTCAAGGATTCCCGTGCCTTTGCTTGGCATCATCGCTTAGTTTAAAGATGGTTCGCACAAAATTACTCATTTGTCAAATGAGGTCAGCCATGTTGCAGCTGCATGATCATCCTACGTCAACATCCTTCATGAACATCGCGCGGGTCACAGTACTCAAAATTACTCAAGTACTCATTCTTTTGTGCGAACCATCTTTAATCTAAGCGGTTATGCCATGTCAAAGGCCCGGAAACTAGAACGTTGCGTCAGAAAGCTTGCCAATGCTGAGTCAGCAGTTGTTTTTAATCAAACATGTATAAAGAAAAGGGTTCTGCCAAAATATTCAATATATATAAATAAATATATATATATATATATATATATATATATATATATATATATATATATATATATATATATATATATGTGTGTGTGTGTGTGTGTGTGTGTGTGTGTGTGTGTGTGTGTGTGTGTGTGTGTGTGTGTGTGTCTGTGTGTGTGTGTGTGTGTGTGCGTGTGTGTGTGTTTCACAAAGCAAGAACCCATGTTACTGTGCGCAGCCCTATAAAGCTAGGCGTGCTGCGTATGCACATACATGGAGCTCACTTATTTTCTACAGGTCATGTTAAATCAAGTGATTTTGAAGCTAACTGTTTCGGGAAAAAACATGCAAGATGAACTTAAATTGGCTGCTACATACCATCAAACCGGGAACAAACTTCGTTACTAACTTATTTACGGATAGCCGGCCGGGCGGTGCGACCAGCTGATGACTGATGACTATTGTAGAAAGCTTCCTTTGTTACAAAGCAGTGCATAATATCCTAACATTCAAAATATGTTAAGAACGTGACGCACAATTACCTATAATAAGCCACATATTCAATAGCCAACGGAAATGACCCGCCCGACGTCGGTGGCACGTCAAATTACGTTCGACAATTGCGCTTAGAAATTCATCGGCACATATCCGATTGCTGCTCTAAGGCTAGGGCAACAATACCAAAGTGAACTAAACCTGAGCGACCATGGGTGCCGCAGGAGACGAACAAACAGGGGCCTGTTTACGAGTATAGGGTCCTCAGAGCAAGCAAAAAGAATCTAAGACCAACGTGGTGTGCTCCTAAGCGGCCGATAGTGTTCCGGCAGGCTGACATATGAGGGCCCGGCCAGAGCACATGACCCTCTGAGCAAAGGGAAATTACCCAGGACCATGAATCAATACCCCTGTGCGATCAACAGCGCCCGGGTAGGTTAACAGCAAGAGCCTCGGCAGTAGTGAAGAGTCCTCCGACAATGAGGTCAAAAGGAAAAAGCCCTAAATCAAAGTGGAGGGCCCGTGAGCATCGAATGTTTCAGTGCCTTAGCATATGTAAGTTCCAGCAACAGCACAAAGCCCCCAAGCAAGTGGAAAGAGCCCGATACTAGTATAATGGGCCCCTTAGCAACTTAGTGTACCCCGGCATATGAGGCCCCGGAAAAAGTGTACAGAGCCTTTCGAGAGAACGGGAAAAATCTGTGGAGAAAAACCCGATCAATCAAGAGTGCTCAGGCATGGAAGCAGACAGTGTCCCAGCAGCAGCACTGGGCGCTACGAAAAATGCAAAGACATCAAGGGCGACATGGAAAGATCCTTGGCGAACAGATGGGCCCGACAAGTGGACATATAGGGTCCGGGCAACAGCGTAATGTCACTGGACAGTGTAATGATCCCCAAAGTGTCTCCCAAGCACAACCTCAATTAGCAAGGAATTCACTTTATCTATTACGAACTCTTTACTTTTGCCAGCAACCGTTCTTGGTCGTCTGTAGGCCCAAAAACATCCAATTGTGTTGTGTGTAATGTTTTGTTAGACAACTGCGTCCGTTCGACCGGTTGCGGGCGCCTTTGGAGCTTCAAGATCCCCTCGGCATGGTTCATTGGGGGGGGGGGGGGGGGGCGTGGCCCTGTGTCTAACCCCTCCCCGTCTGTATCCGCCACTGACCCGAGCAGCTTAATGGATGGGGCCCGCCAGGAACGTAGGACCATTCATTAAAATAAAAAGTAACCAAAACACAGCATGGAGAGCCTCGGAATGATCGAGTGTGCCCGAACAGGTAAAAGATGGGAGCTGCCGAAAACAGCGCGGGGCCAGTTCCCGAGCAGGTTGTTATAAAGGGCCTCTGCCAAGAGCGTAGCGACCTCTATTCAAGTAGGAGGATCCCAAGACCCAATGTAGAGGGCCCCCGAATGATCGAGTGCGGCAGAGCGTGTTAACAGATAGGGCCCCGTCAAGAGCGCAGTGCCCTCCATTCAAATAGAAAGTACCCAAGACCCGACGTAGAGGTTGCCCAACAAACGAATGCTCCAGAGCAGCTTATCAGAAGGGGCCACGACAAGAACGCAAGGCCCTACATTCAAATCAGATGCACATAAAACCCAGCGCAGCGAGCCCCCGAGAGCTAAAAGCAAATGCAAATTATGCCCGAGCAAATTATCAGATGGTCCTGATAGGAGCGCAGGGCCCTAAATTCAAACACAAAGACCCAGTGCGCGGGGGCCCCCGAGCAATCCAGTGTGACCGAACAGTGAGGCGAACAGAGGAGCACCCCGACAATAGCGTAGGACCTCCATTCAAATAGGACGTACCCAAAATCTGATGTAGAGAGCCCTCGAACGATCGAATGCCCCCGAGCAGCTCATCAGATAGGCCCCGGACAAGAGCGTAGAACGTGCAAACAAAACGTACCCAGGACCTCGTGGGGAGAGCAGTCAAATTCAGTTGTATCCGAGCATGCTATCAGATGGCCCCAAGAAGAGCGTAGAGTCCTTCTTTAACATACCCAATGTGCAGGGCCACTAAATAATCCAGTGTGGCGGAGCAGGTTACCAGTTGGGGCCCTGACAAGTGTGCAGGGCAGCCTATTCAAGTAGAAAGTCCCCAAAACCCAATCTGGAGGGCCCTGACCGACTGGGTGTGTATAAGCAGGTTAACAAATGGGCCCTCGACAATAGCATAGGGGCCAAAGCCAGTGACATAGAATCGGAAACGCCCTAGACCAATGCAGAGGGCCCGTGAGCATATTGCGAGCGTGTCGGTGGCTGAACCGAAGCCAAAGTAATTGGCCGCGAGCAAGCGAGAATACCCCGGGTGGTTAACATATGGGTCCCCGGCTATAGCTCACATATCCTTTCTGACAAATGAAAACAATCCATGGAAGGCCCCTGATTGACAAGAGCGCCCGGCATGCTACCAGGGATGGCACAGCAACAGTGCAGGGCCCTCCGAGCAAACGCAAAGAAGTCAAGACCAATGCGGAAGGCTTCTTAGCAGTCGGAATGCCCCTGCAAGTGGACATATGGGTCCCCTGGAGACAGCACAGGGCTCCTGGATAGCGTAATAAGATTTAATATTTCCAATTAACAACTTTGTTTAATAATTGAACATTTTTTTCTCTCTTCTGGCTAGGCCTTCCCTTTCGCTTGCAACTGTTCTTGGTGGCCTGGAAGTCCAAAGATGTCCGATTTTGTTGCGTTTTGTGTTTAAAAAACTGCACCTGTGCGGTCGACTATCGACCCCTTCGGCGCCCAAGGGAATTGGGGGGGGGGGGGGGGGCATGGCCCCGTGGCCATCCTCTCCGGATCCGCCCCTGGACCACTCATATAATGACCGCTCAGATAGTGACAACTCAGATAGGGAGAACTCAGCCCGTCACGGCGCGCGACAGACGCCGGCTGGGGCCGACCGCCGGTGGGCCGTGTCCGCCGCGCCGACACCGCTTTGTCATGTGGCTCGTGCTGCCGGCGCTGACGGCGCTCCTGCTGGCGCCCGTGCCGGCCGCGCCGTCGCCAGCGGGCGTCGGGCGGGCGCTGGACCTGCTGGCGGAGCTGCTGGAGGAGAGGACGCTGCCCTCCGGCGAGCGGCTGGCCGTGTCCCGGCTGGCGGCGCCGACGCTCCGGGCCAGCGGCAGTCTGTGTCGGGCGCACGCCGAGATCTTCTGGGACGAGCTGACAGGAGAGGCCGTGTGGCCAAAACTCAGTACGTTGTCGCCACGTAGGGACTTGTTGGCTGTGCGTCGCCCCTGATTTTGTTCTGCAACGCGCGTGCTGCGTCAACGGAATAGCAAAACACGTTGTAACGTGGACAGAAGTCTGCACTATCGTGTCGGGTCAGCGTCCGGCGCGAACAAAACGAGAGCCTTCCGGCAGTCTTTCCGTACTGCTGCAGTGTGAACCGGGACGACGGGAGGGAGTGCGTGGTCAGTTGTAGTTGGGACGTGCAGATGACTGCTGGAATAAATTCAGTTGTTCTGCCGTGCGAACTATGGCTGGCCGACGTTGGTCACTATTTACTTACATCTGCTTATCAAGCCTCTCTCATCGGGTATTTGCAAAAGATGAGTTACCTCGCCAGGCCTTGATCGAATTAAGTGTGCTCAGAAAATTGCAAATACACCAATCTATCTTAATTGGCAGGAGAAAACAGCCCACGGCATCCAACCTTGCTGACATAACTGACCTTAGCTGGCCAGGTCCTATCTCAAGTGATTTTACAAGCTTTAGCTGGCCAGAACCAACCTCGGCTGATCTTGCAAGCTTTAGCTGGCCGGGTCCGACCTCGACTGACTGTTTCGACGCCGTCTGATGTTGATCAACTTTTCGAATTTGATAACTTATCTGATTTTGTCCTATACTCAACATTTCCTTGCCCTGACTGATTACCGCCGACCCTGATCGCACGCGACTGGACAACGGGCCAGCGATGGCGCGTCGTCATGACGACCGTTTGTGCGCGACTTTCGCCTCAGTGCAACGTGCGTCCTTGGCCAGTTTCTAGGTTTCCTGGTGATCAACCTTAGCCGTTGTTGTTTGTTGGCGAGCGCTTGGAAAATTAGCTTTTACGACAGCCTACCGAGCGGTTAATGACAAACCGGCTTCAAATTACATATTCAGAGCATTTCCTTAGGACGTCTGAACAGAACGTTTGGCCTTACTCGATTTCAGTGTTGGACGCCACTGGAAAGCTGCCCGACGGTATCCTGGCGGGGAACACCAACGCTTTTGGCTCCTTCGACGAGTGCCTGGGCATCGACGTGGACCTGAACGCGACCAAGCACCCTGACCTGTCTGTCCAGGGGCTGCACTTCGTCGGTCGGTACGTGCCGGTGATGGCCAAACCGGGCCGCAGCCGGCGCGGCCTCCGGAACGGCGCCACGGACACGCCCCGACACGACGACCGGCTCGGCGACGTCATCATCCTGCCCGGCGTCGGCAAGACCACCGGCGTCGTCGGCATGTGCGTGCCGTCCAGCTGCTCTGGCGAGGACGTGGTGCGCGGGCTACAGCTACTGCTCGGCGGCAAGGTGTCCGTGTCCGCGCTCGAGTCGACGACGCCGGAGGACTCTGTGGAGTTCACGCCGCCGGACAGGGCCGTCATCACCATCATGGCCCTGTTCGGCGGCCTGATGGTGGCGGGCACCGCCCTGGACCTGCACTGCAGGGGCCTCACCCGGCGACTGATGACGGTGCTGCAGCTGAAGCCGTGCACCTGTGTTCTCGGCACCGATCCCCCGGCCGGCCGGCGGGGAGACGCGTCAGATACGTCCCAGCCTCCGAGACGGCCAGCGCCTGGGCGTCCTCAGCAGGCTCTGCTCGCCTTCTCCGTGTACACCAACACTCAGAAGCTGTTGGACACGACTCCGCGGAAGGGAACGCTCGCCTGTCTGCATGGCATCCGATTCTTCTCCATGACCTGGGTTGTTCTAGGTCACTCGGCGTCCGGTGCATTCTCTACAGACTACAGTCCTATGGTCGCGCTCGATTGGGCAAATAACCCTTTGTTTGAGGCAGTGCTGAATGGCACGCTGAGCGTAGACACATTCTTTGTGTTGTTCGGGGTGCTGCTGGCGTATGTTTTCTGTAACGTTTACCAGAAGACCGGACAATTCAACCTGCCCATGTTTTACATCCATCGCTACCTGCGACTAACAGCGCCACTGGCGTTTATAATAGCCTTCAGTGCCACATGGTTCAGTTACATTGGTGACGGCCCGCTTTGGAGCCTTGCGAAAGGCTCGCAGTCCAGATGCCAGGAGAACTGGTGGAAAGACCTCCTCTACGTCCAAAACATCGTCGACTTCAAGCGGACGTGTCTGGGACCGACCTGGTATCTCGCCGTCGACATGCAGCTGTTCGTGTTCTCGCCGCTGGTGCTCCTGCCTCTGGTGTGGCGGCCCGTGCTCGGTGTGGTCTGGCTGTGCGCCGTCACCGTCGGGTTCCTGGTGTTCCGCGTGGCGATCTGGGCCGTCGATGACCTCCCGCCAGTGCAGTTCGAGCTCAGGCCGGAGCACAGCGACCTATTCGATCGCAACTACAAGTACCCGTGGACGCGCTGCACGGTGTGGCTGGTGGGCATCGGACTCGGCTTCCTCCTGCACAAGCTGCGCGACAGACGCGTCACGCTGAAGCCGTGGCAGTATCTGCCCGGCTGGATCGCCGCCTTCGCCGTAGGCATCTCCGTCGTTTACGGCATGCACAGCTACCAGATGCCCTGGGACCCGACGCCGAGCAAGGCTGTGGCCGTGGCGTACGGCGGCCTGCACCGACTGGCCTGGGGCCTCGCCGTCTCCTGGGTCATCTTCGCCTGCGTCACCGGCTACGGCGGCGTCATCGACACGTTCCTTTCATACCCGGGCTTCGTGCCGCTCAGTCGGCTCACCTACGCTGGCTATCTGGTGCATAGCGACGTCCTGTTCTTTGGATTGTATTCACAAAAAAGCCCGATCTACTATGATGAAGTGCGGCTCGTTTACTGGATACTGTCACAAATTATGGTTACCTTCGCCGTTGCGTACATCTTTTCGTTGTCCTTCGAAGCTCCCTTTGTTACTTTGGAGAGGATAATTTTTGATGCATCTCCGCCAAAGCATGAAATCCAAGGCAAAATTGGTTTAAACGCTCGTGATGGTTCAAAAGAACCGGACGATCGAGGAAGGTAGCTTCCGCAAGCGCCAGACCCTGCGAGCTCGTTAATGCTGCATATTTAGGCTCATAAAAACCAAACCCATACTCGTCACTTGAGCAATTTCATCTGAGCTGTGGACAGACCATCGATACTGCTGTCGTTTTCGACGTCGAACAACTCCCCGACGGTGTGCTAACCGAGATCAAACAGTGGTTGTTATGGCCGGCATTTATTGCGTTTTCGGGGTATGAAGCCATCTGGACGTGTGGAGATCACGGAGACCCGCTGGGATTTGATGCCTGAGGGTTCAGCCAGGACCTGGACTTCCAGACGGATGACCTGGAGGGGCAGAGGGGGGGGGGATCGAGGATTTTAGTCCAAACATTCGGAGGAATAGGATCGGTGCTGATACCGCGGGAGGGCAGGAACGATTGCAGCAAGACCCTCCCCACCAACCACACTCCCGGTAAGCGCCACACTGCTTACGATCCACGGCTGCTTGGGATGTCAGCCACAGACCAACTGATCACTCATCAGCCACAGATCACCTGCCAGCCACGGATCACCTGTCGGCCACGGATCACCTGTCAGCCACGGATCACCTGTCAGCCACGGACCACCCGTCGACCACGGATCACCCCCAGCCACGGATCACCCGTAGGCCACGGATCACCCGTCGGCCACGGATCACCCGTCGACCACGGATCACCCCCCGCCACGGATCACCCGTCAGCCACGGATCACCCGTCGACCTCGGATCACCCGTCGGCCACGGATCACCCGTCAGCCACGGATCAACCGTCGACCTCGGATCATCCGTCGGCCACGGATCACCCGTTGACCACGGGTCACCTGTCAGCCACGGATCACCCGTCAGCCACGGATCACCCATCGACCACGGATCACCCGTCGACCTCGGATCACCCGTCAGCCACGGATCACCCGTCGACCACGGATCACCCCCAGCCACGGATCACCCGTCGACCACGGATCACCCGTCAGCCACGGATCACCCGTCGACCACGGATAACCCCCAGCCACGGATCACCCGTAGGCCACGGATCACCCGTCGGCCACGGATCATCCGTCAGCCACGGATCACCCGTTAGCCACAGATCACCTGTCAGTCACGTTCGGCAGTGCCCATTTCTAATATGAACTTGTGTGGCACACACCCTGGCACGTCGCGAAAATTTATCTCAGGGTGCGAACAAATGTAACACTTTCTCCCAAAATCCTGTCAATTTGGATCATAGTTCTGTGAAACAATCCAGCATTTTATGCAAAACTCTTAGTTTAGGGGAGAGGCACGGTCCTTTAACTCTCTCCATGGCCGTATCCCTGAACACACCTCACCACCTTCAGTCTCCCCCGCTGCGCGCACGGGCTGCCCTCGCTGTGACGCTGGATGGAGATCTGGCGAGAGAGCTCGCTTATTCCGCTCGCCGGCGGCGGGTCCACGATGTGTGGCACACAGCGCACGTGACCCGCCGTCTGCAGGCGTTGCGCCGAGCTGACTACCCCCACCAGCCGCACCGCTGCAAAATAACCGTTGTAGTCGAAGCGCCCTTAAATCCAAATATCAACACCATCGGTCTCAATGCTTACCAGCCGCGCAAGCTTGATACCGGGAACTCGGCGGCGCGCTAGCACAGTTGAGCTTTTAAGTCGCACCTCTAGGTGTCGCTGTGCTGCTAGATGCCAGTATCATACTCGCCCGTCAGGTGCCGCTCGGGGCGCGGTATTGCTGGCGCCGGCCTCCGTTATTCATCCAACCCTCTTATCCTCTTTCTTACTGTATCCTGAATCCTGGCGAAGCCCCGCTTATCTGGGACACGCCGCATGGGTCAGTCACGAATGGGCCGAGGGGCCCCCTGGACGGGGACCCGACCAAGCACCCAGCGCACACCGCGCAGAGGGGTCCCTGCGCAGGCTTAAACTCAGCGGTTGGTCTCCCAAGGCGTATGGAGTCCTGCCCCACCATTCCATTCTCCTCCATCCCATTGCCCTGACATGATCATTTCTGGTCAAAAGGGCTCTAATCCAAACAATTACACTGCCGAACAACCAAGCCTCCGTTATTCGAAGGTATAGATGTGACAGCGATAAAATATCCATGAAATTCTGGAAAAATGATGATTATGATAAGAGGATATTACTTAGAGCATTTACACTGAAAAACAAAAACTTATATAACAAGGTCCCACTTTGCGCCCTCAGTGGTTTGGTCCTAAATATACTTTTCTAGATCGATTAGTGTTTATTAGGTATAATGGACAACTGACGCCAGCTGACGGAAATCGCCGCAGCTGCGCCAGAAAGGCAACAGCATCGATTTCTCTTCTTTTAGGAGGACATATTTCTTTATTACAACGAAAATAGACAATACAATTGTAAAAAGACCACTTTGGCAGAATTACAGAGTATACTATCGTTGTACTTTTGGGAAATCACTTGGTTGATGCGTTGGTACAGTTTCAATTCGCGTCCTTAGATGGCCACGGCATCTTCACAACAAATCCATGGAATATTAACGGACAAAATTCATTGCTTGTTTCAATGAACACAAGCTCACTCAACTTAAGCACATACGCTTGCTGCTAGCACTCAAAAGAAACTTACCGATTTTACGTGTGCAGTACATACAAATTCCCGGGCGTCGCTCCAATGACGTCACAGCGTCCATATCACATTGGCTGGGCCTATGCCTGATCACCGCTGTTCGGCGAACGCGCCGAACCGCGATCCGCGTCAGTCGGTGCGGCGCGTGCGCGGGGGTTGGTGCGGGCGGTCCGCTGCAGTGGATGGGAACGTTGTTGCATGAGTAACTCTCGCTGTTAGTCAGTCTGAATATCAACGAGTGGCGTGCTAGAGTCGTGTGCACCGTGGTTTATAGCTAACACGTTGTGGCGGTGAGTGTCATCCGGGTGTGGCCCCGGCGCGATTTTTGTCAGCTCATACATCTATCATGTGGCGGGGTTCGGAAAATGCCTGCATTTCCTGGCTGCTTATACCATTAACAGCATTTCTTAGTCGCCTGTATTGTTAGCAGCAAATAGCAATTGCAAATGATATGTCGACAATATCCCCACGCGTTATGCCACTAATGTCAGAACACCTGTGTGGATTTGTAGGTATTTTGATAGTTTGCTGCTGAGTCTGCGAAGCGCAGCAGCGCCTCACAAGCTCCCCGTTTAAGGAACGACAGGAAAGACGTGCTCATCTGAGGTGGCTTCTTCCGATCATGCTGGAATGCAACGAGTCCGTACATTTGTCAGCACCTTCCTTACCAACGTGACACTATAGTGCTACCGCTACCCCCCCCCCCCCCCCCCGTGCAATCCGCCCGCGCTCTACCGAACCCTGGCTGACCCCAAGCGAGCCTCGGCTTGCCCTAACCGAACCCTGACATACCCCAACTGAACCTCGTGCTCCGCAGGCCAGCTGGACGATGCGAGTGCTCTGTCGACGCAACTTCAAGTGGCTGCTGCTGCTGGCCACTGCCTGGTGCTTCGGCATCGTCTACTACGTTCACGTCAAGTCGTCCGAGCCCCAGGTGAGGAATGACGCCACGGACGGCGTCGTGCCCCGCCCCGACCGCTGAGCGCGGCCGCACGTGCCCGGCTGGGCCACGGGACGGGTGGCTCGGCCTGGCCCGTGGCGGCTGCCAGTGTCGTGCCTGTCAGCTGATGTCAGCTGATGGTCCGGCGGCCTCGACCGGATGTGGCGGGGGGGGGGGGGGGTAATTTGCGGATTTGCACGGCGGGAAGCCACAGCTCAGGGTCAGCGGGCTGAATAGATGATCGGATGGGCGTGAGTTCAAGACGTCCCGGCAGTGTGTTTTTGTTCTGCGGCGTCTGGAAATAGGATGCCGTTTAGTCCAGAATCGTGGATAAAGATGTCGTAAAATCATGAGACGCGATGGCTCCATTCTTCAGGCCGGGAAGTTTAAGGACCATTGTTAAAAAGTCCTTCAACCGGGAAGTTTGGAAGTTGTGTTTCCAGTTTTATAGACCTCTTTCAGCATTGTATCGCATAAGTACCAATGCCTGTCGGGGTCAACACCATTTGCATTGCCTGTTTGCCAACACAGAAGATTATGTGGTTGCGGGTGCACAAGTCAGAATGCGTACAATATTCAGTTTAAGCCACATCAAATCGACACACCCGGATGCTCCATTGATGGTCATGTGTGAAGACAGACTGTTGCAAGATAATGGAGCACAAAGGCTTCATTGTCGCCAGCCATCAGATTGTAGCACCAAATTTTGTATTGCCACGTACTTCGGCAATCTTCGTTTTCTCCTACTGTCATGCAACGCCGGTGTAGGCATGCTCGGTTGACGTGGGGTGGAATCGGAACCAACCTCAGATTGGACCAGCTTTTCGTTGAGTCAGGACAGAATCGACTCATGGTAGTTTTGTGTCGGGATAGAGCCAAAGTTGGGTCAGCCAAATCATGGGCGATTCGTCTCAAGTGGAAGTGTAAGTTACAACATACAGAAACGGTGCGACGGCGCAGGCATGGCCCAGCTGGAGCAGGTCATAAGTATCCGTCGTGTTATCAAGGTGAATATCATAGATAGGTTTTTGTGAGGCCATAGATCGAATGATAGCCTGAACAAGTGAGGCTGGAATCGACTCCACCGTGGTACAGCGACTTCTCGAGTCAGAATCGGAGTCAACGAAACAAGCGCTACGCCGCTGAGGCGAAACCAGCCCGGCGTCTATCAGCCAGCCCGGCGTCTATTAGCCAGCCCGGCGTCTATTAGCCAGCCCGGCATCTATTAGCCAGCCCGGCGTCTATTAGCCAGCCCGGCCAGGTCTATAGCCAGCCCGGCGTCTGTCAGCGAGCCCACCGGCGATCTGCCCAGCCCGACGGCGTCTGTCATCCAGCCCGGCGCCCGCCTCAGCCGTTGCCAGTCTGCTGTGCAGACCCGTGCCTGCCACCGGTGCCGTTTGGCTGCGTCTGGCGCCGTCTGCTGTGTAGGACCGTGTGCTGCGACCGGTGGCCGTCTGCTGGTGCAGACCGTGCTGACGGAACGCGTGCCGTTGCTGTGCCGACCGTGCTGCGACCGGTGCCGTCTGCTGTGTAGACCGTGCTGCGACCGGTGCCGTCTGCTGTGTAGACCGTGTTGCGACCGGTGCCGTCTGCTGTGCAGACCGTGCTGCGACCGGTGCCGTCTGCTGTGCAGACCGTGCTGCGACCGGTGCCGTCTGCTGTGTAGACTTGCTGCGTCCGGAGCCGTCGCGGTCTCCTGAGCGCGGCCGGTCAGCTGCGGCCGGGGCCCGATCATGGCGGGCCCAGGTGCGTGACGGCACCCATCGCGGTCCAGCGCTGATGACGGGGGCTGGCGGCACGGCGGGCGACGCGGCCGGCCGGCGGGCCCGCGCCGCCGGACCGGTCCGGGGCGGGGAGGAGGCGCCCGCGCAGGGGTCGGGGCTCCGATAACCCGCGCCGGGGAGTAACCAGCTCCCGTCTGCTGGGCGCGTGGAGATTGAGCATTCCGGTCGGTCTGGAGAGGAAGGAGCGATCCATCTCGTTTCTTTGACGTTCTGAGATAATGATCGCGTGGCCGTTCGGTCCGAGACATTGGTCCTTTCCGTCTATTATATGTTTAGCTGTTAGTGCAGCTCTAGATCCAGAATACGCTGTGAAAAGACAAAAGAAGCATGCGCAGATGCGTGCCAGACAAGGAGAAGCAATCTGCCACCAATCCTTCACGTCATTGCACCTTCTTTCTGTATTGGTAACCTTACCTGACATAGCGTACGTGGTAAATAGTTGATCCCCGTCTGCCATGCGCAAAGCTAATCTGCAGTATCAGTGGGGCGCTCCACTTCGGCGCCGGAGACGCGTTACGTTTAGCCCGCCGGCTCCCGGCCAGCCCCGCTGCTCGCGCCCGCTTCCGCTGTCTCTGGTGCTAGGCCACGCGTCCTCCCCCTCTCTCGGTGAGTGAAGCGGCCGGGCCTGGCGCGCTGACTACGCCAACCCTCCCGGGAGAGTGTCACCGCACGCCGCGACCGTAAGCGTCCAGGCGGCTCGTCGTCGGCTTCGCGATAGTTGTGTTACAACAAAACCTCCGACGGACAGGAGTGCTATGACATTACTTCCACTGCTAATACTTATGCACATGAGTGCTGCGTAGCAGCACTTCTGCTACAAAATTATTCTGGTTATTACTGCTGCTGCAAAAAAAAATGTCTGCAGTCGCTGCTTATATATGACTTTACTTCTACTGCAAAGACTTGTGCGCGGTAATAGTGCTACACGACAAAACCTATTCTTCAGAAATTTCGCCTTTGACTCGTTGCAGTTGAAGTAATGTCGCGCATAAGTAAAGACCGTATGAGTTCTTGCAGTAGAAGTGATGACCGGCAAATGTATTTGCAGCATAAATTTTGCGGTATAGTACTGATATCGCGTATGCGTTTTTGCAGTAGAAGTAATATCGCGTATGAGTACACACTTTTTAAACCCTTGAGTTTAAGTCCGATGGTGTTAGTCCCTTAGTCCAGAGTTAGCCCAAAGTCCCTCTGACTTTGACAAGTATAAGTTTTTACAGCAGAAGTGATGTCGCGTATGAGTAAAGACTACATAAGTATTTGCTGTTTAAGTCATGACGGGTATAAGTATTTGTAGTAGAAGT